TTGTTTACCAAGTTTAGAAGAATGGAGGGCAGTTGGGTGGAAACAGACAGAGGAGTCTGTTTACTCCCGGCCGCCAATAAAGCAGAGTAGGCTTTGTCCATGTCTGCTCTGAATGGACACGGCCCTATCATCTGCCCACTCCGATCAGGAGAGGATCAGCGGACAGATCTCCTGCTGATGAAAACTGAATCCACCCCATGGAAAAGGCTTAAGAGGGGAGTTCCTTATTGTGAAGAGATATTCTCCCACTTCAGTTGGATCTTTTAGCAAGCAGTGAAGGAAATTCTCCAATGGGACACAAACTGAAAAAAAAAAAAAAAAAAAAAACCCTTTTAAGGGATTTTAATTATTTCCTACTCTATCCTAGTTAAAAATAAGCATTTATTTGCATTTTTGTGGGTATTTTTTAATGTGTTGAGGTCCTTTGCATTAAGACAAACCTCAACGTGTACAAAACAGACCTTAACTATTTTTACAATGCATACTCTCTCCTCCTGTCATCGTGATACCATGACAAAAATAATACAGGTTCAGTTGTCTCTGGGGTAGGAACTGATAGAAGGCAATACAACACATTGTCAGGCATTCTAGACTTTTCCCATTCTACTAAAAATGTGTTTTCATTTTTGTCTGTGACCCAGTTGGAAGGGTTTACCTTCAGTATTGGCTATGTACTGTACTTAGTGTTTGTAGTAGCTACACTACCTGTTCAGTCTACTAATCCCTACGTCTACAACAGAGGTGTCCAACCTTTCACCCTTCGTGCTCTTCATCCTTGAAAATAGTTCTTAAAAATATAGATGCTGCTGAAAACTGATGACAGGAATAAGGCGTGATTGTGAAGAATGGGATGTTTTTCTTTGGGAAGAAAACATTTCTACAAGTCCACTAAAGAGATACTGTCAAGTATTTCTTCAACCACGTGTTCGCTAAGTGTAAATGCATTTTTACAAAAATTCCCCCCCAAACAAAATTGACAATTTTAAGCAAGATTATTATTTTCTGTTGGGCTGTATTCATAGCTGTCTTAGGCCACGGGTTGGACACTCCTCATCTACAACAATACAAAAATTTGGAAGAACAAATATGTAACAATGTGTAAACCACAATAAAATTTACTTTATTGCAAAAAAAAGCCAACAAACAAAACTCTAAATATGTTCGTACTGAAGATGCACAGTATTTACCTATTAACGTCTATTTTTCGCCTCTGCTGTTCAAGCGGATACTGGTTTAAAACTAGTATTTACCAAAATGAGTAATTAAGTGTTCTTGCAAGAACACTTATTGTTATCTCACATATATATTCTTATTATTATGGCCAATATTACCACCCTAACTCCTCCCACAGTTTTTACACTACATAGAGAGTAATATACCGAAACGTGCGGATTGTTCCCGATTGGTGTGCTATTACTTTGTGGAACGTTTCGCCGAATGGTTCACAAAAAATCGCCGTTTTTGTGGTGAAATTTGTCCCATAGGAATGAATGGAGCAACTAGAGTGTGCGCTGACAAAGCTAGAGTGTGGAAGGAAAAATCAGGACATGATTTGTAAACTGCCATCACTCTGTCATTTTCAAGCCCACCTACACATATCTTATATCAAAACATTCAGCTATCCCTGCTGCCACTAAAAAAGTTCACTGCTAAGCCATAGTCCTGATAGTTTTCACAATATGACCATTTGTTTGCAACTCACGCTGCCCATTGACTTTCATTGAAACGTCACTCTAGACACCTGAAATTTCAAGGGCCATATTTAAACTGCGACTGTGCCTTCATTTTTAATAATTCAGAGACATACTATACATCAAAATGTAGGTCTGAGTCTTGTGATTCTCACAATATAAAGCTCTTCAGTGTAGGATTTATACTTTTAAAACTACAACCGTTTGAAGATGGCAACTGCCAGTGAAGTGAGCAAGTTGGAGCAGTTTGTTTATAAAAGCCCCTCTCAGCTTGCTCTGACTGAGTGAGTTGCCATAGCAACTGAAGGTGAGTCACCAGGAAGCAGACTGACCAAGGCTACAGTGTGAGCTGCAAAATAAAAGTTCAAATGCATTTTTTCAAGCTTGCCATGTGCACTGTTTACATTTCATCAATCACTTGGTTAGTGTTGGAGGCAAGAACACTTCACACAATTTCCCCAGAAATTGTAGATTTTCTAGTCTCACATATATATTCTTATTATTATTATAGCCAAATTTACCACCCTAACTCCTCCCACAGTTTTTACACTACATAGACAGTAATATACCGAAACGTGCGGATTGTTCCCGATTGGTGTGCTGTTACTTTGTGGAACGTTTCGCCGAATGGTTCACAAAATATCGCCATTTTTGTGGTGAACTTTTCCCATAGGAATGAATGGCAGAATGTTCAAAACTAGAGTGTGAGCTGACAAAAGCTAGAGTGTGAGCTGAAAAATCAGGACATGATTTGTAAACTGCCACCACTCCCTCATTTTCAAGCCCACCTACACAAATCTTATATCAAAACGTTCAGCTATCCCTGCTGCCACTAATCGGCTAAGCCATAGTCCTGATAGTTTTCACAATATTACCATTTGTTTGCAGCTCACGCCGCCCATTGACATTCATTGAAACTCCACTCTAGCCACCTCAAATTTGAAGGGCAATTTCTAAACTGCGACTGTGCCTTCATTTGTAATAATTCAGAGACATACTGTACATCAAAATGTAGGTCTGGGTCTTGAGATTCTCACAATATAATCCTTCAGTGTAGGATTTATACTTTTTAAACTACAACCGTTTGAAGATGGCAACCGCCAGTGAAGTGAGCAAGTTGGAGCAGTTTGTTTTTAACCGCTCTTCTCTGCCCTTGCTGTAGAGTGAGTTGCCATAGGAACCCAGGTGTGTGATCAGGCAGCAGAGTGACAAAAGCGAGAGTGTGAGCTGAAAAATAAAAGTTGAAATACATTTCTCACTCTATCAGGCTTGCCATGTGCACTTTTTAAATTTGATCAATTGGTTAGTGTAATGTTCACTATCTTTACTCACTCCAAACACTCCACACAGTTACTCTGCCCACTCCATAAAGTTACTCTGCCCAGTCCAACCTTTTCACAGTTACTCCAGCCACTCCAACCACACAACAGTTACTCCGCCCACTCCACCCAGGTACTCCGCCCACTCCAGTTGTAGACTACTGGTGGAGGCAAGAACACTTCACACAATTTCCCCAGAAATTGTAGCTTTTCTAGTTTAGTATTGTCCTCCAAATTTAATATGGTTTCTGTGGCTTCATTCCACATCTGTCAGAATTTTGCCCAGTAAATACAAATTTTAAGTCCTCATGCACACTTTTTCAGAAGGCTGGTAACGTTAACGGTGTAAAGTCACGTTAAAAATGTGTTTTTCAGCTTTTTTAAGCATTTTTGAAGTAGCATTTAGCGGAGTTTTGCCACATTTGCATTTTTTTTAAAAAAAATTTTTTTTATTGGTCAAAAAAGTCCAAAAAAACACCAGTTTGCGGCAGTTTACCGCGTTTTACAGCGTTTTGTCACATTTTTCAGCATTTAGAGCATTTTTACAGCTAAAAATCGTCTCTAGAAACCCACTAGTCCTGGGTTTTTTTCCAGCCAAAACAAAACGTTGATTCCAGTCTATGTGTGTATGGACACATAGGGTAACATGCTGGGGGGTTTACTGGCTGTAGAAAAAAAATGTCAAATGCCAAAAACAGCCGCTGTAAAAACATCCCGTGTGCATGAGGACTAAATCTGAACTCCAAGTACCAAAAACTCATTTAAATATATTCCTAGCCATACAAGATGTAAATCTACTTTGAGTGCACCAAATGCCTTTGCACACCAAGATTCAAATAAAAATTGCATGGCTCCTGTGGACAATGGGGCTATTTACTAAAACTGGAGAGTGCAAAATCTGGTGCAGCTCTGCATAGTAACCAATCAGCTTCCAGGTTTTAGGGTTCATTTACACTGCAGCTGATAAACTCACGTTTAGGAACTTTTCTGCATTTTTTTCAGCAGCCCCTGAACTCTCCCTAATGTTTCCTATGTGTCCATGTACACTATGTTGTTTACAGGCAGTTGAGTTTACAGCTGTTTTTTTTTAATGCACCAAACTTGTGTTCAGGAGTAGATTTTATCAGCATTTCAAATGCTTGTAAACGTATGTAAACGCATTTAACCACGTTTGCGTTTAGAAGCGTTTTTTTAAACTGTTCCATGACCAGATGCTGCCCAGAGCCTTTTTTTCATCATCAGAAATGCATGCAAAGTGTTTTCCATGTATTCAAATGGACTCGGTACACCAGCGCAGTCAGTTCCAGGTATTTGTGAAGGAAAAAAATGGTAGAACGTGCCGCATTATGTTCATGATGGGATCCATAGTGAAGACAACCAGAAAAGACAGGTCATCTCAACACATACTACACTCTCTGCTTCTGCTCTCTCTATTTCTCCTAAAATGTCTGAAATAGTTAATTTTTTACTATTTTTCAGTGCATTCTGGGCATTTTGGAAGGTCTCCTGAAGTTATCTTAAAAAAACGCTTCTAAATGCAAACGCACATAAACGCGGTATGCAAATGCAGCTAACAGACGTTTTTTAACCTACGTTTTTCTAGCAGTCAGTTTCCATCGTTCAGAAGTGTTTTCCAAATTCCCGGTGTACATGGAGCCTTATTGTCAAAGCTTAACTGAACAAGCTGAAGTTAGAAGCTGATTGGCTCCCATGTACAGCTGCACTAGATTGTAAGTGCTCCAGTTTTAGTAAATCTAAATGTCTGCTTATCCCAAAGTTAAACCCATTAAGCAGGAATTTCCCAAAATTCAAACTGTGAATAACCAGCATAACGGTTAGAATTTGGAAAAATCCAAACCCATATTAACCACCTCCCGCCCGCCATATAATAATATGACGGGCGCAAGGTGGTTCTCTCATTCTGGGATGACGTCCTTCCATTCTCACTGCGCATGCGTGGCTCAGGGAGCGCGCAGCGTGGCGATCGGCGGTGCACTGTGTCCTTCGGACACAGCGGATCACCGATCACGGAAAGAGCCGAAGATGTCGGCTCGATCATGTGATCAGCTGTGTCCAATCACAGCTGATCACATGTAAACTAAACAGGGAAATGCCGGTTATCGGCATTTCTCTCCTCTCAAGCTGTCACGCTGACAGCTTGAGGGGAGAGCCAGAAATCGGCTTTCCACGGAGGGGACATGTACACTGATCATCAGGGCACTGATGATCAGTGTGCCCTGATGATCTATGTAGCCCCAGCAGTGACACCTGTCAGTGTCCGCCAGTGCTCATCAGTGCCACATCAGTGCCTACCAGTGCACATCAATGCCACATATCAGTGCCCATCTGAGCTGCCTTTCAGTGTCACCCATCAGTGCCAGTCAGTGCTGCCTATCAGTGTGCATCAGTGCCGCCTATCAGTGCCTGTCAGTGCCGCCTAACAGCGCCAGTCAGTGCCGCCTATTAGTGCTGCCTATCAGTGCTGCCTTTCAGCACCCATCAGTGATGCCTGTCAATGCCCATCAGTGCCACCTACCAGTGCCTCCTCATCAGTGCCCATCCACCTATCAGTGCAGCAGCTCATTAGTGCACATCAGTGCAGCCTCATTAGTGCACATCAGTAAAGGAGAAATATCACTTATTTACAAAATTTTATAACAAAAACTAAGAAAAAACATTTTTTTTTCAAAATTTTCAGTGGTTTTTGGTTTGTTTAAGAAAAAATAAAAAACCCAGAGGTGATTAAATACCACCAAAATAAAGCTCTATTTGTCACAAAAAAATGATAAAAATTTCATATGGGTACAGTGTTGCATGACTGCGCAATTGTCATTCAAAGTGCAACAGCGCTGAAAGCTGGAAATTGTCCTGGGCAGGAAGGGGGTAGAAGTGCCCTGTAGGCAGGAAGGGGGTAGAAGTGCCCTGTAGGCAGGAAGGGGGTAGATGTGCCCTGTAGGCAGGAAGGGGGTAGATGTGCCCTGTAGGCAGGAAGGGGGTATAGGTGCCCTGTAGGCAGGAAGGGGGTATAGGTGCCCTGTAGGCAGGAAGGGGGTATAGGTGCCCTGTAGGCATGAAGGGGGTAGACGTGCCCTGTAGGCAGGAAGGGGGTATAGGTGCCCTGTAGGCGAGGGGTTAATAACACAACATTACCACCTGGAGGTTTCTTGAATTTCGATTCTATACTTGTATATATGGAGAGGCTGCACCAGCTACTTCCTGAGATGACAGCAGACACTTACATTGCCACATAACAAAGTGCTGGGAGGATTACATGAAGGAAAAATGAAGGCTTTGTTAAAGCAGAATCCCCCCCCCCCTAACCTTTGTAGTTAGGAAAGCTGTCATTTTACAGGCGGTTGCCGTGGTCCTGCTCCTGTGTCCAGCTATGGCAGGAAAATTCAGTTGAGAGCTCTCATAAGCACACTGGTGACAGTTAGCAGCAGAGGCATGATTTGAATGTTACTGGCTGAACCTGCTCATTTGCATATCTTTGCAAAGGATTCTGGGAAATGGGTTTTGCCACCTCAGGGTTGATCAAATCTGAATTATTTGTGTTTTTAGATGGTTTATAGAGCCAGAAAGATTTGGATGTTAACATACAAGCCAAAAGAAAGATTTTAATGCTAAATTCAAATTTGACTCTCCATAGGTTGATATTTTGGTAGTTTGGGCGGTTTAAAAAAGAGTCGAGGTTACATGGCAGTTGGAGAGGTTGGGAAAGCTCAGCGACCAGGTGAAGGATCTCTCTGGGGATAACTCAGTGACACTGAGGTGAAGATTCCTCTGAGTGGAAGCTCATTGATACTGATGCGAGGATCTATCTGAGGGAAGTTCAGTGATTACTGACAGGAGTGATACCAACAAAAGGATCTCTCTGGGGAGCTCAGCAATACGGACATATAATGAAGAGGATCTGATCTAATGAAGTTCAATGATACTGACATATGAGGATGTCACAGGAGAAGTTCAGTGACACTGAGGCAGGCAATAAAAACTTCTCTGAGCCTAGAACCCCATTCCGGAAACACTTGGAAGCTGAGCTTGATGGTGGTTCCCCAGGCCTCTCATTTTTAAGTGTTTTTGCATTTGAGACCCCTTACTGTTATCTCACATATAGATTCTTATTATTATTATAGACAAATTTACCGCCCTAACTCCTCCCACAGTTTTTACACTACATAGACAAGTAGTATACCGAAACGTGCGGATTGTTCCCGATTGGTGTGCTATCACTTTGTGGAACGTTTCGCCGAATGGTTCACGAAATATCGCGGTTTTTGTGGTGAAATTGGTCCCATAGGAATGAATGGCGGAATGTTCTAAACTAGAGTGTGAGCTGAAAAATCAGGACATGATTTCTAAACTGCCATCACTCCCTCATTTTCAAGCCCACCTACACATATCTTATATCAAAACGTTCAGCTATCCCTGATGCCACTAAAAATGTCCACGGCTAAGCCATAGTCCTGATAGTTTTCACACAATCACCTTTTGTTTGAAACTCACGCCGCCCATTGACTTTCATTGAAACTTCACTCGCAGCCACCTGAAATTTGAAGGGTCATTTCTAAACTGCGACTGTGCCTTCATTTTTAATACTTCAGAGACATACTATACATCAACGTGTAGGTCTGGGTCTTGTGAGTCTCACAATATAAAGCTCTTTGCTGTAGGATTTATACTTTTAAAACTACAACCATTTGAAGATGGCAACCGCCAGTGAAGTGAGCAAGTTGGAGCAGTTTGTTTATAAAAGCTTGTCAGCTTGCTCTGACTGAGTGAGTAACTGAAGGTGAGTCACCAGGAAGCAGAGTGACCAAGGCTACAGTGCGAGCTGCAAAATAAAAGTTCAAATGCATTTCTTCAAGCTTGCCATGTGCACTGTTTACATTTCATCAATCACTTGGTTGGTGTTGGAGGCAAGAACACTTCACACAATTTCCCCAGAAATTGTAGATTTTCTAGTTAGTTAATGCGTTTAAAGGACTACCCGGCTTATTAGTCCTGGAATGTTACAGTAGATGATTTCAAGATGATCTATGATGATCACCAGCTTTTAGCACTGAAAATATCTCATCATGCTCTCTAAAATGAATCTGGGGACTTGTTGCCAAAGTTTAAAAGACAAAAACAATTATAAATAACACCTTGAAAAGGTGACTGCTGAGGACAGAATACAGCGTACTGTTCTGGAATGGAATTTTTAGCAATGAATCAAATAAATTAGGATTGTTGGGTTCTGGTTGTGCTTCCTGACTTGGGGTCTCTTGGATCCCTCTTGTAAACACGTTCCTTCTCTTCCACAGGGCTGCTTGTTAGCTTTCAACTTGAAAGGATCGCCTATACACTGGGGCTCTTCTGTCCTCAACAAAAGGGTCTTTTGAAGGAGAACTCTGTTAACCTCCCTGGCGGTATTCCCGAGTGTAGCTCGGGGTAAAGTTTCTGTACCAAAAGCGGTATCCCCGAGCTACACTCGGGCTTACCATGCGACGCTGCATAGGGAGTCCCTCCAGCACTTACCTTGTCCTTCGCTCCCGCGATGTGTCCCCTGCAGCGCCCCCGGCCATCTCCTCCGGGCCGATGCTGGCATCCGGCTTCTGTGTTCCGGTCCCTGTGACGTCGGGATGTACGGGCACCGCCGGCGGCGGGAAATTTAGAAATTTAAAAAAAAATGTCATTTTTTTAAAAACAAATTTTACATAGTAAAACATTGCTGTTTCAAACCATTTCACATACATTTTGTCCTGAGTGCTTTGTCCTGTCCGCCTGTCTGCATTTTGACTGTTCTTTCTGCCTGGAAACTTAGAAAAGTCCATGGCGTCCAAAAAGCGTCCCTATAGGTCAAAATCGGTTTTAGACCGGCTAGAGAACAGCTATAGTAAATCAGAACCACTTGCAGAATTGAGTGATAATGATTCGTGGGAGAAATTCGTCATCAGACACTGAAAACGATTTTGCGACTTTGCTCAGTGATGTGCGAACTTGGCGCTATATTTCAAATTTCGGTGTTTTTGGTTTGATTATATTATTGAATTAAATGTATTATTATTATATTATTATTTTTTATGATTATTTACTAAATTATAATTTATGATTTCGTGTTTCAAATTTTATCCTACCCGGGATGTTTACTAGACTCTTGTTCGTACAGATTTCAGTGAGTTATTCCTAAATATTACAGCCTACAATAAAAAAAACGTCATATTTCCATGCAAAATAATGGTACCACCAAAAATCTGAAATAATTATACCGCAAGGGAGGTTAAAGCACACATTTCATCAAAGTGCAAGGTCCGCTTATGTTGTAGACCCCAAAACCCTCATGTAAAAAGTAGGGTTAAATGAAAAAAAGATTACAAGAGAATATTACAAATCTATTTGAATGTGCTGCTGTACCTGTGGGAAACAAGGGGGAAAAATCCCCAACCCTATTTTAAAAATGCGGCTGCATGGTACCACATAGTGCTGTGGCACCAAGCGGTTTTGCGCAGCCGAAAATGGTGTCCTTAATTCTTAAGAGAGAAGGAATTGTCACCCCTGTGCGACCATGTTTTGCCTGCGGGTTGGGAACGTGTGTGATTATGCAAGCATTCCCAGCCTGCAACAAGTGTGAACCTAGCCTTAGGGCAGAATTTGCGACACATGTATACACCAAGTTATAATAGAGAACTGAGACCACAGCAAATACTTATTTTTATTTACAAAGTGCAAAGTGTGAAATTGCTGAAGTATGTAAGTGTGAAGTATGAAGTATGTGAAAGTACTGAAGTATGACCACTGTGCCATAGGGGTTGCGACCAACTGGGCAATGCCCCTAAATCCAAACATTTGGGATCGGAAATTTATTACCTGATAAATTCAAAAACTCAGGTTAACCTACCAAAACTACCCAAAACTGCCTTGTTTTATAAATTGAAGAGATATCTCCCTGAATATATTAAATAACTTGTAAGATACAGTATATACTGCTAACCCCTAGAATAGCAATAGAGAAAAATTTGCAAAGAGTCTACAGTTCCTATAGATTTTGTCAAGTGCAAGGTAAATTGGATGTGTTTAATGATACCTTCCCATGCACGTTACATAATACTCAAAGTGGTTGTAAACCCTTACATATACTAAGTGAAGGGACTATCCTCAGGTGATACACAGATGAAACAAATCCTCCTACATAAGTTGTACCTGCTTATCTGCAGTATTCTCTTCTCTACATCCATTCAAAGTGCTGAATTCATAAGCTTGTCTGAAAGTTCAGAAAAAAGGGATCAGAAAGCTGAAGTTACACACTGCAGAGTGAGGAGAGTTCTGAGAGCTGATTGGAGGGGAAGGACACCCCCCCTTCCACACAGCTCACAAGAACATAACTGAGGCTGTCAATCTGCTTGAGGTACCTCCCTGACACCATTTTTCTTTTGGTGTCAGGAAAAAATGTGTGATAGCAGAGGAACAAAGCAGCAGACAGAAATGACA